CACTAGAAATTATCACTAAAATAATCTGCTCTGGGGCTACTATCATCTAGAAATTGGTCGCAGGGAAAAGAAGCCTAGAAGTAAAGATGGTGCCACGCAGTGTACTTTGTTTCTATGAAGGTTGTCCTTGCCCTGCGCCGTTCTATCATCTCACACAAGAATGATATTGATACAGCTACCTGTTTCTCCGATTTGGCAGCTCTGAGCTGGGTTCATCGACGGAATTGAAGGTGGAGAAAAACGTAGGGAAACTTGTTCAGAAAAGCTCGCATAATTGCAGGAGTTGCAACAAAGAAAAGGAAGCATGGCTTTGAAGGCAGCGTCTCGGCAGAATGAACCTACCTCAGATTTTGACACAGATGGATAGGAGGCCCTCCAAGTGAACCAAAACAGCAACTCCGCGCCGAAAATGTGAACTCTGCAATCAGGGGGCGGCCCAACCGCCGCTCTCCTTCCTCCTTTCGCTCCCCTAACACCTTGTTCGTACGAGTATGTTCTCCGCTAGAAAACGCGCCGTCATTCGTAGCTTCGTAGGGCAGAATTGTTCTAGCGCTCTCTATCTCCTCGCTCTGCGTCTCTGATGGCAGAGAAAAACGGCCCACCCGTCCGCGCCCGTCTCAAGGGGGGGGGTTCAAATGACGGGGTTTTCCCGTTTTCGCGCTAAGGGGAGTTCATGTCGTGATTCAGGGACCGGAATAGCCTCAAATCTTCCAAAACCCCCAAGTTAGAAATCTGCCGAGCCGCTGCCTTCAAGATGCTTCCACTGGCCTCCTCCCAGTCTACAACATACATAATCTACTTTCAAAAAGTTGAAGTCACACCTCTTCGGCAAGTTTCGAGACAAGCTTGACTAGCAAAAAGATCTACAAAAGTCCTCAGTGATGCTTCTTAAAGCAGTATTGTACAGGTTCTCAACAAGAAAGCGTTTTGAAATAAAAAAAACAGACGTTTTTGTGGATTCAATCGAACAAGGCATAAGGAACGATGAAAATTAGCGGAATTGGCGGACCCAGCAACTAAAATGAGTCAAATGGAATTATGAATGCGTTATGAAGTGCGACAAGCCCTTAGCATTGTTAGACGTCCCAAAACCACGGATCATTCAACTAGAAATTCAATTCGTGTACATTGCTTATAGAACTGAAAACGGCAAATAGCTTTGTTCCATTGATCGTATACAACACATAAGAATAGTGATTACAGTATTTCTACTAGAACAGACATATGAGAAAGGTAGATTCAGTTGTTTGTAGCAGATTTGTATCTACTCAACATGGATGGTTTGCAGAAGTGCATTGTTACGTCACTGGTCTTCAGAGAAATTAATATATTTGCTAGGAAGATCTAAAAGGAGAGATTGTGTGGATGTATAATAGAAAAGGGAGAATGGTTTCGCACATTTTCGTTTATCAGCGAATTGAAATCTTTGGGATTCCTCCTCAATAAATCTCATTTACTGATCAGCCGAAACATGAACTGTCATGGTGATCAAAGAATGATACCTCACATGTACTTTCAAAAAAATTAACAGTATGAAATCTTAAGAGATGAAAGGACGGATTAATCCATTTTTGGTGAGTAACGAGAACTTTTAGGTTGAAACAGAGTCTTGCACCAAAAATTCCAAGAAATCATTTGAAAATGCTCAGAGCTGAGTTCTAATCGCTATGGTATTTTTTTCATTGTATATTTATGCACCTGTTACTGTATACATTATATTACATTTTATTCCAAACAATATTTGGAAGATAAAAATTCGAAAATCAAAAGTTTTTGCAGAAACGTCCTATTAGCACAAATTCGACTTATCTGAGCGTCGAGTATAAAACAGAAATAAAAAAAATTTTGAAAATTTCCGGACCTTCCAGCATTTATGGGATTAAAAATTGGGAAAACGCATGGCGTTCATCAGGTTTTGCTGCCGGATATGACAATGGTGGTCTTTTGAGATGATTTAGAAAGAGTAAGTATTTTTTTTCGAAATTTAAACAGAGTCATTGAACCTGGAGAGGAGATTATGGGACTTCGTTTGGTGTACAACTTACATCAACCTAATAGGTAGCATTTTGAAACTTCTAAAATAAACGAGACAGCTCATGCTGTAGTTATACTTATATAGCTATCTGCAGAGTAAAGTCAATTACAAGAAAACCAAACACTGATGATATGAGAGCATTCCCTTCATCGTCGAAGTAGAATTCGCTAAATAAAGCTAATAATAGATCTCAGAAGAGTAGCCGGTGCGTTGTTTGATATCGCGCAGTGTTCATCTGTCGAGCGCTCGTATGATGGGAACAGTCGCGCGGCTCTCAGACACACAACAATGAGCGTTGCGGATGCAAGTGATGGACGACGGTTTGCAGTGATTGACCTTACGCCAATCTCAACTGAGATCGACGTAGTGATAGCGTTCCTTAGCTGATACTCGAATTATACACTTGCTGAAGATTGGACACTCGAGGATGAGCGTCTGTGCTTGCTCAAAGGAGATGCTTTCAGCATGACGCAGCAATGTTTAAGGAAGGCAAACAAAATCAGCGATTACACCTGCTAAAGCAATCGACGTCCGCCTACGAGGACGGTCAAGTTGTTAGCCTTTCTGTAGTTTGTTTTCGATCGGCATAGTGCGTTGTGCTTTGGAAAGAGACATGAAATTGCTGACAAAGTGGATCTCCTACAATAAGACTGGTTGAAATCACCAACAGTGAAAAGAAACCGAAAATCAGACAGTTTAGCCACTTTTTTCCAGCGTGCAGGAGTCGCCAATGCAGATTTTCGGTACATCAAATTGCATGTCTAGTGTAGTGCTTTTAGTTGTATGAGGTGGACTTCAGTTGTTAGAAAGCAAAGACATTCAATAGCTTTTCCCTCTGTGATTGATCTTTCCTATGGCCTTGGACAGAGTTCACGCGATTTGATCGTCGTGATTTAATCGCCGCGACTTTCAGTCATTTTCATTTTACATTCAAAAATTCCGAGCTGGAAAAGTATCACAACCGAAATGCAAGCTGATCGGCATGCAATGAACTCGTAGCAGTTGTCTTGTAGCGATTAAATCGCGGCGATCATATCGCGTGAACTCTGTCCGAGGACTTAGGACTTAAAGGCAGTGTCTCACCAAAGTTGAGGTCGCGCGGATTTTCACATATTCCATTATAGGGACCTCTAAATAAGCCACTGCAACAAGTCCCACTCAATTTGACCCCCTCCACGCTGAGAAAAATTCGCTCAAAGTGGTACGCGGAGAGCGAGTTGGTACGCGCGGACGACTCCTTCGGTCTCCCCCCTTACTCGTTTAAACATGTCCCTCCACTTGACATCCATCTCCCCTCTGCTGCTGCCACTGTGGCTGTGGCTGAAGTTGGAAGGCACAACTCGTCCACTTTGCTTCCACGGGGCCTCCAGAAAACGGGATTTTTGGAGACTTCGTGCGATTTTAAGCCCATACGGTGCTAGACAGGCTCCGACAGGTTTGCAAAATGCAAAAATCTGGGCAACTAAATTTTGGTGAGACACTGCCTTTAAGGACTGAACTCTTTCTTCTACGTTGATGAGATTCATTGCATGCATACGAACCTGTGGGTTTTCTAACAGACTTGTGAGAGAAAGCTGTAATTCATCAATCTTCATAGTCATTTTGTCGGCTATGAAAACATTGCAAGCTGTTGATGGTTAGGGATTCGGAACATTGATTCCGAATCTGGATTTCTTATCTGCAGCGCGTCTCTATACGCGCGGTAATGAGGATTTCTATTAGCGAAAATTTGAATGCATGATTAGTGTAGAAGTCGTTATCTCAGAGTTTGAATGAGGCAGCGGCGAGTGGAGATCTTTAAATTGAGGATATTTATTGCACAGAGTGACCGGACAATAATTCAAAGCCTAAGAAAGGTGTTACGACTGGTTTTATCCTAACTGTGCATTCAAATCTTATTCAGGAAAACTCGTAAAAAGGCAGTGTCCAGGCAAATTTGGGTGTAGATATTTGGGTATGGAGTTTTTAGGTGGAAGCTGATGAGAGTGTCTAACTAAGGCACTGCCCAAGCGGCTTCGCAAATAATAAATTCACGGTTGAGGAATCCATATCCATCCATATCAAAACTCTCCGCACCTCCGCCGTTACCGTAAAAATGAAATTGCTCCAATTTGTAACTACGCTCGCGCTAGGGCCGCCCTCAATCACTAGCGAGTTACAGTCACGTCACATGCTAGAGCAGGGCCCGGCAGGAGGTGGCATTTGAGGTTTTCAAAAACGATATCCCTTTTGACCTCCGACATTATTACGACTTCCTCTTTGATGGCCTAGCTCATAAAGTATGCATATCATTTGCATTCACAAGAGCGAAATTGCGTGTGAAATGCTCATACTCGTCAATACAGTATTTAGAGTGATTTAGTGACAAAATATCCTTGAAACTGTTCCCAGTACAGATCCTTCCAAGAAAACTTCGGCATTGCTTTGTAATTGACAGCTTCGGAAGCTATCTCCATTGTAGCATGTCAGTAACTATGGTAGTAACTTTTAATTTTGGCGTCTTTGTACACAAAATAGAAGTAAAAAGTCTTTTCAATGAGTTCAAACACAGAATTTTGAATCTGACTCCAGAAAAAAACAGCGTTTTTTTTTTCAAGCAAAAGTAGATGCAAAAGTGAGTCATTTTGCAACGCACCAGAACTCTGCATCATAACAGAGAAAGCGTTCTTATCCAAATGTGTGAGAAAGGTGGCCCCAATGATGTCCCTACTCAGGATATGGAGAGTTTGTTGTGGAGTTTCTAAATTATTTTCATAATAGCGAAGAAAATCTCGCAGCTCGTCCGCAATGCTGATAGTGTATATTGTGTTACAAGCTACTTGCTATTCAGAAAGCAATTCTACTTCCGCAATTGTTCTCAAGCAGCAGTATGCAAAAGAACAAAACAAAAGAGAATTTCGATTGAATGTTTACTCTAACTCAGCTTTGATTTACATTTATTCAAACAGCTTACACAAGAATGAATCGGAATACTAAGAAAAGAAAAAAATGATGCATGAAGCGAAGCTAGACGAATTTCTCATTAAGGACGAGGAATTCGCGGCATGAGAACTTTAAAAAACTTTTGAGAAAATTTTAACACATCTTTCTCCTTCAGCTCGACATCTGCAAAAAAAAAAAGTTTTTGTATAAGACATTTTTGAACCGGTAACCAATTACGACAAAAAACTAATGTCAAAACAGAATCTGAAACTCACCCTTGCGGCTGGAATAGAATCGTTGAGCCATGCTTCATTTAAGCTGTCCAGTCAAAGATGTATGGCAAGACAACAGTCGTACTCGTCTCGTCCACCTTATGAGGAGAAAACAGAAGTTCTACTTCAACAAATGAGAATATTTAGAAAGCAAAGAAGAATAAATTATGAAGCACTCAAAACCAAACAGCGCAACAACAATAGACTACCTCAGTTTTGATTTCTTAGCTTTCCGTAGATCGTTATGATTTACGTAACTTCACCCATGCTGGAGAGATTACCCTAAAAAGCGTTAAGCTGCAGACTGCACAAGGTGGCGCCGAAGTTCTCCCAGTTTTGATGACTTGTGCCAACGAAGTATGCGGTCAAAGAGTATAGCCATTTTTCCTTTGATCCATGTTTTGTGAAGTAAAGAGTACGAAAGCTAGTGAAACCTTGAAAGTCTTGATTGCCTCCGGATAAGAATCATTCTGAGACTAGCAGACTACGATTTGAACAACTGTGGTTAGAAAGTGGACAGCATTCCTGCTTCATATAGGATATGTAATTGAAGTTGGAAAAAAGATCGACTTTAGACACGTGTATAGCCTTCACGAGTCTACCAGTCTCAATGATGATACGCTATGAATCCGCTTAAAAGTCATTTTTAGAATCGTGACGATGGATTTGACTGCGGTTTTTGCGCGCAAGGAGCACAAAACACTCATACAAAAAGGTACTACGTCAACGCTCAGCTCATCACTTCCTCCAGATATTTTCATACGTAAACAAAAAAAACATTCAAGTATAGATGAAATCCAAAAGATGTGCCAGAATGCGTGCATGTCGCGCGCGGTCGCACTACCGTCACGATTTTCCGTATGCCCATTACACGCAATGAAAACTAACTCAATGTAAATATGTGGAAGATCAACCGTGAATGCCTTTCCCAAGAAAGCATACCTCAATAGCATATGATACCAATTTGAAAACCTCGCTTTTTTACACAACACTGCAAATGTAGTATAGACAATTTTGGTCCAAAAGAATGTAAGTATCTTCACTAACAAAACAAACAAACTTACCTAATCCTTTGGGTAGAGAGCACGCCCTTTCTTTTCTTTAAAGAGTGCGTTTTCCTCATTCAAACATCACGTTTCAGACCATTCATTGCTCTTCGTCACCCTTCAAGCTGCAAAAAGTCAATTTCAGATTAGGCACTGCAAAATTGCCTCAGAACCAATGTGGTCTTCCAGCTTTGCGCATTGGCGAGCTAGCTCATGAGTAAAACATCTTCAGAATTGACACTTCAATCCATACATCTTTTCAAATCTCTCTCTGCTCCGCAGCTTGATGCATATCTGAAGTCCTTTCTGATCCTTCGGCTTCGATCATCATCACTGCCTCATTGATTCCTAAAAGAAAAGTGGAGATATATTGCCTGTGACTAACAAAACAGCAGCAATAAAAAAACACGGAAACAAGAAAGGCTGCGAATATAGCAAACGAAATTGAAGAAGATTTTCGAATCCTGTACGTGGTGCCTAGTTATGCAATTGGAGCGCGCTTTCCACTCAACTACGTTCTTCTGTAACAAGTTCCAAGGTCGTAGCAGAGAGTAGAGACAATAGTTTGAGAAGCGCATTTGTATAGGTAGTAACACTCTTGTCCTAGAGCACATTTATGTAAAGAAATTCAAAAAATTATGTGAAGGTAAGCAGGGAGCCACCCCAGGTGGCTCCCAGGTGGCGCGGGAGCCACCTAATTTTGACAAACACTTACCATTTCTTGTATTCACATAAGTTTTTCATAATTTTTCATACATTGTTCCTACTCCCTATTGCCTAATTACTCACCAAAATTGGCGAGCTATCCATGCGTATGCGTTGTAAACGAGGCTGTTATTTATTTTTCTTGATAGGTAAATTCCGATTTGAATTCCCGCGCGAAGAAGGGACTTTTGGAGCACCAAATTGTGCGATCGACTGCAGTCTAAGTTGGTAACAATTTCACTGTGTTTGCTTCCAAAGTATTTATTATCACTATATTGACCACCACAAATTTTCAGTAGTAAACACAGAGATGCGGGGAAAGAGGTGGAAACCTTCTCGTTTCCCGAAATATGTGGTAAGATCTCACACGAAGTATGAGCGATGAAACATATAAATTCTGCAAGCAATTTGTTTCTATTCATAAAGTCATAACAATTTTGTTCGATAGTTCACCTAGACTTCTAAAGACTCTTCATTATAAAGTGAGTAAAGTAGCAAGAATTTTTGGTCTTGTTATGCCTAACGCTGTGTCTCTTCTCTAAAAACTTTTGCCTCGCCTCTCGAGAAAATATATATACACCTAATTACATACACAGTGGGTCTGGATCGTCTGAAAGTTCTTAGATTTTTTAATTTTTCCATGTTCGAGACATCAAATCTAGCATGAAAAACTCAAAAAAGGACAGAGATGTACTTGAGACACGCTTATTCTAACCTTCCCAAGCAGCATCTGCCCAAAATGAAACAAACCTTAGAATTTGAAGGCGAACTTCTTAAAATCCGTGCACCTTCACAAGTGATGATAAGAATTTTCCTTCTGCGAGTCTAATCTCTATGATATTCGAGTTCGGCAAGAAAATGGCTCTTCCAAAATTGGAGTTACTACGTGTCCGACTTTCCTGCGACTTTCAAGGACTTCAACTGTTTTGCAATAAATTTGAAGTGTTGTTCTGGCAGCTCTTGAAACATTTTCAACTTTTTCTGCGGCATTGTTGTATATGTATTTCTCTTACAATTGAGTGAAAAAATTTTCTGGGGCTCCGCCCCGGCCCCGAAATACGACTTCGCCTTTGTCCCTCCGGCCCAGAAACGATATCCAGCCTGTGAAATCACCACTTCCGCCGGGCCCTGTGCTAGAGGGGTTTGGAGATGGGTTTTTCAGCCGTGAGTGGATCTTTGCGCTGCCGCTTGACAGTGCCTTAGTTAGGACCCCTCATAATCCACAAAAAATCCATGTGCCCACATTTCCTGGACACTGCCTATAAGAAAGGCAGGTTTTGCGATCGTGCCTCTGATTTTCCCATGCCTGAGCGACGATTAAAGCTCGCCTCTGAGCCATCACCACGCTCGTAAGAAAATCAGAGGACACATCTCGAGCGATGAGCACCGCCCAAGCAAGGCGACAATGCGAAACTCGAGCTAGTCGGCGGCGTTGCCAATGGCACACATGGTACTACTTTGAAGTTTCCTTAAAAATAAACGAGTGGGCGTAACTTCCTTCGCGGGGGAGAAGACGGAGACGAAATTTTCACGAATGAAGGAGGAGGCGTTACTATTCCAGCCCCGGAAGATTCTTCTTTTGAGGCTTACAAATGGTATGACCCTGTATTTGAAAAAAAGAGGTCCGGACAAGCGTGTCAAAATTCGCAGTGGTTTTGTTGATTTTTCTTTGATCTTTTTTATTCATTTTCCAGCTTTTTGAATAGAAAGAAAACACAACCTTCACATCCTTTGCCGATATACTAGTGTATCAGCGATCACCGAAAAGCTCTTATTGAGCTCCCCTACGTCGATTCTGCCAAGGTTGTTACTTACATTCAAAAAAATTAACACCTTCTGGAAACTCATGAGTAACAATTCAGCAATAAGGATCTCGGGTCCCTTCTTCTTCCTTCTCAGATCAGTTTATATTTACCCATGTACCGTCAGGCCTACTCAAGAAGTCCTTGAGCGAATTATAAACAAATCTAGGAAATGCAGATACTTCCTTAACCTCAACTGACTGTGATTTTGGAGACTTCAAAGAGATCAAAATAAGAAATTCATGTTGCCGGCAACGCTTTTACATCTATCGCAATTGCATGCTTTTGCTTCAAAGTATATAGTGACAGAAAAAAGAATTTCAACACAACTGCACGTTTTGTCCATTTTCTGCAGATGGAGATTACCCTAATGCTAAGCAACAATGCTCATTATACTGTCTGTCCAAATCGAGACCAGGCCGAACCATAGGCAAAAATTTTTTTACGCTAAAAGCGCTAGAGGTTTGCGCTGCATAAGAAAAGACTAAAGAGAGCAGCCAAGCAGGCCACAGGCGTGACGCAACACCATGGCGGCTCTTACCCCCGCCTTGCCAATTTTGGCCTGATGGGGATTGCGGCAAACTGTATTTTGTTCAGTATATGTATGGCCTGTTCAGAGCAAACGGAAGTTCGGGCAAAACGCAAAATGATTAGGCAACAAGATCCATTTCCCCATCTGTTTGTCGCCCGTGATACCAAGCAACTGTCCACTGCCGCCAAACATCAGGTAAAATACCTTTGCGTAGCAAAGTCCGATTCTAGACTGGGAAAAACCTCGTAACTCCTTTCGTGGAAATTCTCTACAAATAATGAAGATAGATTCAGCGTTACAAGAGCTATGCAGCAAGATCTATACAGTCATTTAATTCTCTTCGCATATGGTCACTTCGGCCAAGTAGCCTTTCCTTGTGAGTGGAATGATAAGGCATTTGCTCCCCATCAAATAAGGCACGGCGGATGTCATAGACTATTTCGTACCGGATACAGGACCAATATATCGATTTATTAATTTCTAGCCTTACATCTATGTAAATGAAGATTAACCAATCATTATGGAATCACCTTTTCATAGCCATGTAAAGAAGGTAAAAACAAACAAAGGGTAGAGGTAGGGAAGTATTTACAACCTTCGGACCTAACACAATCAAACGACAAAATTTTAGCAAGGAGCTTCTTACGTATATGCTAAGCAAGTACATTTATTGAGTTGGATAATCAAGTGAATTCGATCAATCAACCTTTAGGTTGAATAACGGAGACAACTACTGCGATAGAGGCCGCCTCCGAGGACCCTGGTCCACACACATTATACCACAGTATTCCGTAATCAGTAGTCTTCGTAGGCGGACCAGTCGACGGTTTCCGTTCTTCTACCCACGACAAACGAATTTAGAACTATTCAAATGTTGCAAAATCGAGTAATTGGAGATATCTAGAGCCTAAATTACAGAATATCTAGAGCCTAAATTACAGAATATCTAGAGCCTAAATTATAGAATATCTAGAGCCTATACTAATTAACGATGTTGTTCAAGCAAATGTCGCCCGTTATGATTCTCAACTTCATTTCGCATTCTTGTAAACCACCGCTCAATTTTGCTCCCTTCCGTGACAAGCTCACGGAATGCTGAACATCCTGAAAACGCCGTCATCGCACCATACATCCCCTAAAAAACATCAACCTCATCATATGGTGGCTTTGCTCACGCCCTGATAATTCACTCTCGCAGAGCTGCGCTTGGCACCTACAAAGCCTGGTTTACTGATTGAAATAGCCGCTCCCCGAGCTTTAATTGACTGTGTGCGAACGATATCATCAAAGTGATTCGATAATACTAGAAATGTGTAGTGCTTGCGTCTTCGAGCTGTCAATATTCAACTCAGCCCCTAGTCTTTACGCGTAAACTTTGCCGACGCCGGATGGTAACCATAACCAATGTGATAGTGATAGGGCAGCTTCTCAATTAAACAGTCACACTTCTGCATTTCATCGTTAACTATAAGACCAGTAGTATATAGGACCTGTAACGACCTCATACATCAATTCACTTGTGGTTGTTTTAAAGTACGGCATAGAGCATTTCATCCACCCTACCTAAGGCCCCGGGCAGACTTCACGCGATTTGATCGTCGCGACTGAGTCGCGAGGAGACAACTGTTACAACATCATTCCATGCAGATCAACATGAATTCGGTTGTGATACTTTTCCAGACCGAAATTTTTGAATGTGAAATGAAAATGAATGGAAATCTTGGCGATTTGGTCGCGACGATCAAGTCGCGTGAAGTCTGACCGGGGCCTAAGACCAATACACGATGTCCCAAAAAATGTGTCGACTGTTTGATTGTTAATAAACCCCGCGCAATGAAGTCTTTCGAAAAGCCTTAGGTACCATTTTGTGCTGGCTTCGACTTAGATTCATGATATGGAGCAGATTACTGACTGCTCTCCTTGCTGTAGGATTACGGTAGAAACTCTGAAGAGTGTTTTGAGCCATGAAAGGTCATATTTTGTCTTAAAAAGGAAACAAAAGAACATGACTCTCACATTGGGCTAATCAAAGTTGCTGATTCCAAATGTGAAGTTCGCAACTTATCATAATGCTTCAGTAAAAACTTATGTGAGATAAGTAGTAGCTGCCGTTTTTCCGGTGTTCCTGAAAGTGCGGTTACGCCGTTTAAAAAGCTTTGCAATCTTGTACATAGTTGAGTATTGAACTCAGCGTCCATGAAGAAAACCCTATTGTTTTCACATTTTTTGAAAAATTTTGAAACGCAGCTTCTTTCAAAGTGACGCCACATGCTTGAATCTCTACCTCATCCTACAGTAATGAAGGCGATCGGTAATTCGTTCTAGACTGTAAATCTAAGTTGAAGCCAGCTCTACGAAACAGACCTAAAGTTTACCGAAAGACTTCATTACAAGAGAGAATAACAATCAAACAGCAGGCACATTTTTTGGGACATCCCGTAAAACAAGGTGTCCCAAAAAATGTGCCTATTGGATTGCTTGCAACTCTTTCGTTATAAAGTCTGTCACGAAGCTTCAAGTACCATTTCGTAAAACTGGCCTCAACTTAGATTTACAGTATGAAGCGAATTACTGTTCTTTCTTCATTGCTGTACTATTACGGTAGGCACTTTTGAGGGGGGCTTCGCGTCATCATCATCACACGTCATATTTTCCCCCAAAAAGAACAAAGAGTAGTAAGACTTTCACACTAGGGCAATCGGAGCCGCTGATTTTAAATAGACTCGCACTTCAGTAAGCTTTTCTCATAGGTTATGCCAGATTATGTGATAACCGATTTCTGATATTCGTCAAAAACGTGATTACGTCATTCAAAAAGCTCCGCGCGCAAAAAGTTGTGTAGTAAAATCAGCATGCATGAAAGCCTTCTTACAAATTTTTCAGATTTCATTGAAAATGTTTTCGAACGGCCTATCGTCATATGTTGCGAGTTCCTACTAATTCTACAGAAGATCGGCACCGTAAATTGAGTGAAACCAGCTCTACAAAACGGTACCTAAATCTTCTTGAATTATTTTATGACAAGAGAGTAATTAACAACCAAACAGTAGGCACCTTTTTTGAGACATGTTCTAATCACCTTTTTTATAAACCTCCCAAAAAAACAGAAGAAGTCATAAAATCCAAGCCAATTTAGTAGGCATAATGTATGGGGTGAAGCGTGGTTAATTAGCCCCTTGTCTAGGACATACCAAGTGCCCCTAACGATTCGTTGTTGTTTTTTTTTTGCAGTTTTTGCTCAAAGGCAGTGGCTCGAAAATTGCGACTGCGAGCTTTTCACACTTACAAAGCCATCTGGATGCGCTGAGTCCATTGAAATGTCAATAAAGTGCTTTTTGAGAGTTTTCCTACCGCTCCTATAGCTAGAGGGGATGGGACGGGGATTCCCGCCATAAACAGCGACCGGCTGCAGGATAGATCGGCTCGGGCAGCCAATTGCGATTTTGGCGGGTCCCTCCCTCATCCCCTCCGGCTATCTCCAGGGTAGGAGAACGCCGTAGAAAGCATTTTTTTGACTTCTAAAGCACAGTGCTGAACAAAACTCATCCAGAAAGCCATGTAGATGCGGAAAGCTAGCACTCGCAATTTTCCCGAGCCACTGCCTTTGAATTATTATTTATCCTCACCCAAAAAAGGTAGAAGGAGTCATGTATCTAAACCAGCAACCCGGACACATTGCACCATTCGGTCGTTGATTAAATATTAGGATGATGCAAAAGTTCTTTCGCACCAAATTCAAAAATTCATAACTTGTTGAATTCTCAACGAATTTACTAGATCTAAATTTTGTATAAGAGAGGAACTCATGCTCTTCGCAACTGTACTTGAACTGTTCGTTAATGTGTACAAATGAAGGAGATAGAAGCTCAAAACCAAAATCACTCACAATTTGTATTTCTCGTGTAGGCTCATAAAAAATCGGAAATGCAACAAAATTCGGAGCAGTCAGTATTGTAGGCTCTTTACAAGCTCTTTCCAACAGTGCAAAGTTTGCGCCTATTAGGCGTCTCTGTGAAAAGTCATGAATTCCCTGAAAAGTGCCAAAGTAAATCAAATTCGCCCTTTTGTATTGCTTGCTCGAAAATCATAACTTATCACAGAGACGCTGAATCGGCGCAAACTTTGCACTGTCGGAAAGAGCTTGTGAAAGAGCCTACAATACTGACTGCTCCGATTTTTGTTGCAAGTTTCCGATTTTTTATGACCATACACGAAAAATTCAAATTTTGAGTGATTTTGGTTTTCAGCTTCAATCTCCTTTACCTGTTCTCGATAGCGAACGGTTCAAGTACCCATGCAAAGAGCATGAGTTCTATTCTTATGCAAAATTTAGATCTTGCAGATTCGTGAATTCAATAAGTTACGAATTTTTGAATTTGGTGCAAAAGAACTTTTGCACCAACCTAATACTATCCGTTGCTTACGATTGGTATAAAATTAACTGACAAAGAAATCATGATCAGTTTTCCTTTATCTACACAGGTCAAAACGTATTTCTTGCAAAATGGCAAGAACTACTGGAAAATTCCATGCTCGCAGTACAGAGGAAATCATTCAAGACTTTCCGTTGCACATTCCACCCCTCGCCCGGCTGAACGCCATTATTTGGACCGGCAGAGATATGATAACATGAATATGATAACCATTTTCAAAAATACCCATTACTTTTATCATTTTATCGATTTTCCTGCAAATTTCGAACTAAGGGGCTGAGAGTTGGCACAGTGGGGTAATCGAGCATGCTGATTACGAATACGATAACCATTTTCAAAAATGCCCATTACTTTTATCATTTTATTGATTTTTTTGCAAAGTTCAAGCTACGGAGTCGGGAGTTGGCACAAGGGGGTAATTGAGCATGCTGATTACGAATATGATAACCATTTTCAAAAATACCCACTACTTTTATCATTTTATCGATTTTCTTGCAAATTTCGAACTAAGGGGCTGAGAGTTGGCCCAGGGGGTGATCGAGCATGCTGATTACGAATGTGATAACCATTTTCAAAAATGCCCATTACTTTTATCATTTTACTGATTTTTTTTTTGCAAAGTTCAAGCTACGGAGTCGGGAGTTGGCACAAGGGGGTACTCAGGGATTCGCGCCGTGCGAGCGGTCCTCCTATAAGGGCTAGCGTACAAGCGGTCGACATAAGCCTAAAGCCTCCGCGCGTGCGGCAAACAGCTGAAGCGCCGTCCTAGCGGCAGGCAATGTTAGCGTGCAAACGGCCTGCAATACAAGTGCTCGAGCGAGCGGCCAGCAATGCGTCCGTCTTATCGGTCGGCAACAGCTGCTGCCGCGCAAGCGGCCGACAGTGACCTCTATCTTCTGCTCACTATTTTCACACACTGTGAGCTCAAACGGTACCTGCGTGAGATACGACGCAGCGTTTTGGCCTAAGGCATACCTCACGCAATTCGACCGAATCGCCACTTTCACGCGACTTGGCGATTTGCCAGATTTCTATAAATTTATCATGCGTACTTCTCTGACGCATATTTGGGTAGCTTATGTAAGTTGTTGCAAACAGAGCAAGTTCTGACCAAAGGCAGCGCATTAGCGACGAATTACGAAGAGTCGCTGTTGTGTCAAATCGTGCAGCGACCGGAATCGCGCGAGGTATGCCTTAGGCCTCAGGCTGGCTAAGCGCTGACATACATTTTACTTCCCCAGCAAGGCTGGAATGAACCTGTGTGAAGCCACAGTTATCAAGAATGATGGTGTGGGCTTCACCATGGAAAGTTTGGCCACTGCTGCAGGTATCGTTCGATGTTCTCAGAATGTAAAAAGGAGTAACATATCCAAGAAAAAAGGCCAGGATATCCCATATAGATCTACTCCAATAGCAAGCGAGCGGTTTACCTTCCCCTCGCAAGCGGCGAGCGTTAGGAACCGTGCGGGCGCCCCACGTTAAACGTGCCAACGGCCCTTGACGAGCGTACAATCGCACACACCGACGAGCGATTGTAGGCTCATCGCCGGCCGCCCACACGACGCGAGTCGCTGAGTAGTGATGACAAGGTATACCCAGCTTACCAAGTCTGCAAGATTAGGCTTCGATCCTCCAAGATAATCACGGTTTGGTCCAATCGCATCCATCCATTCATCAAAAGCTTCCGACATAGCCCTTCTCTCATCAACAATGTTGTGCCTAAAAATCTCGGTTATTAACGAATGAAAGATAAAATGTGGCCCCACCTTTTCTTTAACCGTTTCGCTATCAACCACATTGCAAAAGCACCAACATACACAGCCAAAGCACGGCCACTGACAGTAAAAATATTATCCCAGTCGCCGAACTAAAACTAAGTTGCAGGCTGCATCAACATATATGATAGCTAAGCACCTCCACTTGCAGTGAAAGCAAGTTCACAGGAGAGTGTGTTATGCCGGTTGGGTTCTCGGTTTTGTAATAATTCGATCATGAGTTAGCTATAGCAAATAATGTGTGTAAAAAATACCTCTGAAAACCATCTGAAAGTCTCCAAAGACTCACTGAACGTTCGATATACGTTTGGTGAGATTAGATGAATAAAATAAGCATCAACCCACTCACGCCATTGCCGTTCTATTCTGCAAATCGTAAGATCAGCATGATCACAAAGGCAAGTAATGCGGCAAACCTGTCAGATGCAATATCTTCGTTGCGTGAAGTCCCGTCTGGGAAAACTATGTATTTATGGGGATAATCCATAATGTTTTGACCATCCCGTGGTACTATCACCGTAGGGTATAACTCATGGACGTCCGACAGAGTACGAGATCGACTTGCTAAGAATGTTGCTAGCTGAAAAATCGAAGTTTCTTCTCATAAAAGAGAATGCAGCCCTAGAACCACTTTCAGATGCATCGTCCACCCTAAGTTAGGAGTCCTAAGCTTTTGGCACCTTATGATAGCAGGACACCCTACTAAGCTAATGCCCAAGTCGCGGAGCACAATGCGCACTGAAAGCGAGAAAATCGCTCCGGAATGACGAATAGGGCAGAAGACCCAGGGGACGACACGGCAACACTCCTCCAGTAATGCCCGCCCATCCGTGCTCGCTCATCCAATCCCCGCTCAAAAGAATGGAGCGAAATGTAGAAGTTTTCGCTAATTCTGAATTCCTATTCGAAATCGGGAATATGAAAAGGCACCGGGAAAAACACAGAAGTTGTAAACCAGGTGGGAGATTCCCCCAAACAGCACAAACATCAATTAACAACATTACGCTAACCATTGACGACAGTGCCACGGCATGGCACGCGGGGGTAGGGGGGGACGAAGGCCGCCAGTTTTTACCTATAGGTATCCATTTGCCACCGTGCCGAGCCACGACGCCGCACAATGGCGTGCGTCAACCTGATATTCAATGCTGATGCCCCCAATCGTTATTATTTGTGTTCATATAACCATTTTGCTTGAAGATATTTTACAACAGCCCTGCTCTTTTTTGGCAAAGCGGCGACACGAAACGCCCAAACTGCACTTTAGGAGTACTTCCTTAACGCAACTGAAAATTGCGGAGTGCGTTGCTAAGGTCAAAAGACCTCGCGCGATTTCTCCACAATCGAGGCGACACGCGACCCGGCAATCTACCGGTTGCTGGCAAATCCACCGCGCTTGGAATCCATATGCATAGGCGCGTACCTCTTGAAAGCTAATACGTACAAGCTAAATCTTGCGTACAGAGTATGCACCGACTGACTTTTAGCGACTAGAAATCGCGCGACAATGAGGTTTAACCAGGGTTGAGCGTGGGGTCAGGCCTGGGGGTCGTAGTGGATATAGTACGGAAGGGGGGGGGGGGGTCCTGATTAACACATTGACGACCAAAGCTTTTCTCGGACAAGCCAACATTTTTCAGGTAAAATCACGCACAATTCCATTTACAGTACACCTACGGTAGCGTTGGAAGCTGACAAAAACAGCAGAGATTGTATCTAGATCCAGAATAAAAGAAAACTCCTAGAGTTGGTTTGACGCAAATTAGTGGCCATTCCGATGAGAGTCATGGTTTGTCAAGCCTTGACACACCATGTGCGTCAAGCGGCCGTCAATGTATAATATACTAATAATAATAATAATAATGATAATAATAATGATAATAATAATGATAATAATAATGATAATAATAATAATGATAATAATAATAATAATAATAATAATAATAATAATAATAATAATAATAATAATAATAATAATAATAATAATAATAATAATAATAATAATAATAATAATAACAATAATAATAATAATAATAATAATAATAATAATAATAATAATAATAATAATAATAATAATAATAATAATAATAATAATAATAATAATAATAATAATAATAATAATAATAATAATAATAATAATAATAATAATAATAATAATAATAATAATAATAATAATAATAATAATAATAATAATAATAATAATAATAATAATAATAATAATAATAATAATAATAATAATAATAATAATAATAATAATAATAATAATAATAATAATAATAATAATAATAATAATAATAATAATAATAATAATAATAATAATAATAATAATAATAATAATAATAATAATAATAATAATAATAATAATAATAATAATAATAATAATAATAATAATAATAATAATAATAATAATAATAATAATAATAATAATAATAATAATAATAATAATAATAATAATAATAATAATAATAATAATAATAATAATAATAATAATAATAATAATAATAATAATAATAATAATAATAATAATAATAATAATAATAATAATAATAATAATAATATACTAGTATATTATAATATACTAGTAAGTACTAATAGTACTAATAGTACTTAGTACTAATAGTACTAATATACTAGTATATTATATACTATATAATATACTATAATATATTAAGAGTCGCTTTCAGTTGAGGAGATACTACGATTAAGGTGAAAAAGAAAAGCGCTAGTTCGGTGAAAATCGCAGTCTCATCGTACTGAAGGAATGAAGATCGGTAACAGCATACTGCTTGCCACAATCGAAGTTTCGGCCAAAATTCAAATATTCATCTATTATCCTGACATATCATAGGGTCACCAAAGAAGCTCGCTGTGTGAAATGGATACCACATCCGTAATCGGTACATCAAATTACCTCTATGAGCTTTACAAACCACTGCCTACTGCATTTTATTGCCTGTGAACGCCTAAAAAGCGTGAATTTCAAACATGATAGGCTTGGTTTCAGAAGTGAAAAAACTTAGCCTTTTTATACTCATAAGAAAATAATGTTCTCTAACAGTTTATGCTAGAAATCAGGCTTCGTAATGCTTTCAAATAGTAGAGTAAGAAGGGGTTTCAATATTACAACCGGAACGTTTTTCACTTAAAGTGCTTTAACTACAGACTACCACAGGCCGATACAAAACGAAGCAAACTCAAACATTTACTGTGGAATCTTCGAGGGTTGTGCTAGCGAATGGCAAAAACTTGGGTAGAAAGGTTCTTCGGGAATAAAGTTAATGGGGTCAGGGCAACCCCTCGAAGGTCAGGCTGCCTGAGCTTCTGTAGCCTTGCACCCGACTCCCTTTAACTTGCCTGCAGTACTCAAAAATTGCTCCTTCTCTAGTAAGGGTATTGAGGTCAAAGCCTCTTCTTGCTATACTGACAAGGAAAGGATGGTTGGTCGCAGTGGCCTTTTGAGATGGGATTTATACCTTGGTGGAGGGCAAAAACGCTGATTCTAAATCTTTCTTCCTTATCTGCGCCACGTTCCTAGACAAGGAGTTATGGGCGTTTGAAGGAGCAGAAAATGAGTGTTTTTCTGGGATAAAAACAGTTGCAAAAATTTTCCTAGCGCTTGAATGAGAAAGCCGGAGTGCAGATATATCTCATTTAAAAGTACTTATTTTACAGAGTGGTGGAAAGATTACCGCTGGTCCATTTAAGCGCTAGGGATAATGTTACTTGTTTTTGATATTATTTGCGCATTTAATTTTTTCTCCAATAAAAGCTCATAACTTCTCGTGCGGAAACGCGCCGCAGATAAGGAAGACAGATTTGAAATCAGCATTTTATCCTCTCCAATATGGTTTATGAATCATCGCAAAAGACCACTTCAACTGACCATCCTTCCCTTGTGAGAATTTGGAACCAAACACTCCAGCTCCGTGGAAAACAGAGCTACCCAGATCAATTTGCCGTCAAGTTCCGTGTTGTCGTGCAATCGCACAAAGCTGCGCCTACAAAAAACAAGAACCCTCCAGAGGCTGATCCTCTTCGAAATATCACAGCCTGAGTTCCTGGAGGAGATGCGGGGTCGTCTAGGGGCTTTCGCAGGGGAGGGGAGGGTATGTTTTAAAAGACTTGGGCCTGACCTCTCGCTTAACCCTGGGTATGACCCACCTCTAATACACCTGCCGATTCCGAACAATATCTGCTTAACCAACGACCACAGTTTAGCACTTGTTCGTGTCACTAGTGTCGAGACGCAGACTAATTAGAGTCCGACAGTCCTCTCGCCGACTTGGTGCCACCAACTTCAGATGAGTTGGCACTCCCCGGGTGCTCGGTGGTCCCCTCCCCAGTTATGTTCCCCCACATTTATACATATGTTATAATGATAAACTAATCTAGTCAAGAACTGTTATATTAGTGCAAAGGAAAGAAACTAAGGGTAGAGGGATCAAGCTAAGAGAATAGCTAACTCTTCAAACTTGACAAGAAATCATCTTCTACCCAGCCACCTTCAAGTAGGGCTCTTCCGAATCGTAATGGTTGTGTCAACTGCATCCATTTGCATACGCCAACACTATTTCACCAGATTTTCCTTTTTTTTCAACCGCTTTTCTTCCATTAGTTGCTAGCTCAGGAGAGAAATCCTTATACGTCCAAGTTAGCGATTTCCTAACCCGCTTCAAAGCTTCTGCAGCGCTTAGACGTGCAAGCTGAGCGCACGAGGTAGAGCTCGAACTGGCAGAGACCATACAATAAGCGAGCAACCTATCATTTGGTTGCAACTTTTATGCTGGAAATATCACTTCGCCGTCGCGTGTCCATGCTTCCGCAAAATCGACTTGAAGGTATCATTGACTGCAGAGTTCGCGCGTGGCGCAAGAGCGTCCGAACGTATCAATGATATAGTTTTACTGTGTATACATGATTGATGAACTAAATATCGGTCGATATCCCAACCGCCCTACCGCGCATTTGAGAGCGCACCATAAGATCATCATTAGTTTTTAGTTTTCAACTAGCACATCTTCAAAGCACGGCAACCAACCTTCGAGATGATCAAAGTAGAATCTGTGAGCGTTCCCGCACTGGTGGATAGGATCGGCACCTAAATTATGATCTAATTAATCTACTATTCGAAGGATTTGACTGACCTTTTTGTACTCTTTCGAGAACTTGAGCTCAGCCTTCGTAACGGGATTGACTTCCACAACATCATAAGAGAACCCATAATAGTCAAGGAAGGCGCGAACCTGTTGATTTCAGTATATATCGTCCTCATTCCAACAAACCAAAATGAAAAATTACTCACTTTGCAACAGAACGGACATGATTGGTACTGGAACAAACGAAGATGAAGATTTGTTCTATCGTTCTCATTCACTATCTGAAGCAAAAGACCAGATATAATTTGATATGCGGATGCTGCGAAGCTCTTTGATCTAAATTAGTGCGTTACACGGCACGCTCATATACAATCCGCAAGAATTGATGGTGTTATGGCAGGTTCGAGATCAAGTAGAAGTTGAGGTTTTTCTAGAGTTCAGTACTCTAATTACAATCAGGTACCGGTCATGCAAAAAGATTTAGGCGGATATATACTGTAGAGTATAGATTAGAATCCCTGACCAGGATATCGCCTACGTAGGGCGGAAATAGGCCTTACCAAAATAGTCTCGCCTCTTCTGAATCCCTTCTGAGAATAGGCGTGCACATAGTGCACTTGAGATGACAACGTTTCAGCCATGCTTCGCCGGCGACCGTTGCCCATGTTCGGTGTTGCCATACTGTGGCTTGCCAGTGTTGCAACCAAGTGGACGACATTGTCGCCGACAGTAGGTAATCACGAGGATAAACGTGGGGGCAGGGCACGCCACATCTGGGGGTCGCGTTGAGAGGGTAGAGAGGGAAGGAGGTGTAATCGAGTATCCCGATGTTAGCGACAGCAAACTTTTGGCCTTTTAGGATAGTGACAGACCAACGTTTCCTACCCGTTGCCATCGTTGGCTGTTAGAGTCTTTCCAACCTGAAGTAGGCGAAACACTCCAAGTGCAGCGCGTCCGCAGGCCGCTGGCTCAGCGAGATAGGTTGGGATGAAGAGAAGCTCTACCTATCTATCTAATGTCACTCATTCTCTGACTAAGAGACGCGAGCACGCTTGCGTATGTTTGATTAACAAGTTTATGAATGAGCTCTATCTAAGCCCCGGACAGACTTCACGCGATTTGATCGTCGCGATTGAATCGCGACAAGACAACTGTTACAACGTCATTCCATGCCAATGGGTGGAGGACATTAGGTCGCCGAAAGAGGGCGGTCCCCGTGGTCATTTGCGACAAATACGCACCCTTGTACATACGCGGACATGCGTTCCTGCAGGGAATCCGCGCGGGACTCTTCCAAATTCGGCGACCTAATGTCCTCCACCCCATGCCAATCAACTTGCATTCGGTTGTGATACTTTTCCAGCCCGAAATTTTTGAATGTAAAATGGAAATGAATGAAAATCGCGGCGATTGAATCGCGACGATCAAATCGCGTGAAGTCTGTCCGGGGCCTAACGAGTTCTGATTAATCACTATCACCGCATCGTGAGCGAACGTGTACAAGCCAGCATGGTTAAACGAGCTCAATTATGTCTTATACGAATTCTGTTAAAACTCATTCATGAACTTGTTAAGTAAATGTACGCAAAGCGCGCTGGCATCTCCTAGTCAGAGAATGAATGATGATGTATAAAGAATTGTAACGCTTATTCAAAAAACATCAAATAGCGGGAACTGCGGTGCGGTCCCGAAGCGCGCGAATGCAATCTAGCACCTTTAATTACTGGTTCATCAGTCTAATAATAAAGAATCTAACGCTTATTCAAAAGCGGGAAAGCGCGGTGTGGTCCCGAAGAGCGCAGATGCAGTCTAACTCTTGGTTCACTAGTAAAAGTCAAAAGGACCGTTTTTGTCGCATCTAGGTTCCGCGAGAATGATTTGCTTGGACAAAGCCTCGGGGTAGCTGAAGTGTCACACCACTCCCCACCCTTTTCCCAAAAGCCGCTACAACCCACATTATAATCGTTATATATCAGCATATCGAGTGTTCGGCCATTTGCTACGTATTGTGGCCGAACCGACCTATACATATCATCCCGCAGTAAAGCGGGTAGGTTCGGATGTCAACGAGGCTCCTCTGTTGTGAGCTTCCTCAGTGTCACAATAAATGTTGATAGCGACGTGTTGTGTTTGCTCCCAGGGTCAAAGTTGCCCTATAGTGGCACACCGAGGAGCAGACGGGCAAGTACAAGTAGTGCCAGATACCATACAAAAATTTTAGTGACTTTTATTCCTTCCGGCGAAGTTTTGGCAGGATACACGAATTAATTTCTCATGTTATAAAGAAGTGGGATGGCAGCGAAGATTCAATGCAGCTAATTTGAAGATACCTTTATGAAAGCGAAAGCAGAGGCAAAGAAACAACTTACCTTCCTGCTAAACAGCACATTTTTGTCGTCCTTTCGTCTTGTCGTCTCAACGAATATCTTATCGTCAACTTTCGTAGCTAAAACCGCTGTAGCGAGCGCAGCCCTTGCCGCTCTCAACCCAATCCTCATTCCTGAACAAAAAACTGAGACAGTAACACTGATCTCGATAGAAATATGTGGGATATCACGCCTCAGAGTTCAGCAATTCCTTGAGGTTAAAGAGAGCATTCCGAGAAAACGTACATTCACGACAGTGCTAGGCAGATTTAAAAACTATGTTTTCACCCGTTACCGTACACCCACCGTACCCGAGAAAATGACGCTACGGTACAAAACCAATGTGATATTCGGCGTCAGCGGATCGATTAACCCCCCTGGACCAAGTTTCAGCAAAATCCATGTCAAAAAAAAATTTTTGGGGCCGGGATACTGGAACAGCGCCAATTTAGAAATCTGGACTTGGATACCCGCCCTCCGTTAGAGGCAGCGTCCAGGCGAACCTAAAGCTATGGTAATTTTGCGTGCAAAGTAATTTTGGGACCCTAACTAAGGCACGGTCCAAGCGGCAGGTCAAATGACTCACTAAAGGCTGAGATATAAGCCTCCAAACACCCCAGGATCGTATTATCCGGCTTGCATCGTGTTTGCATGCTTCCGCGCGAGGACCACGCGAAACTCTCGTGTCGCCCATGAGTCCATGCGAAATACGGTGCCTTTAAGAAAGTGTCCGGGCAAATAGATTTGGAGATTTCTTGCTTACCTGAGCCTATTCGCTATCCTGAATCCAAAAATCATAGTAGAGGGCGCAAAACAGCGAAAAACGCTAATGCAGGAGGGAAATCAGCAGGTGGGCGGCATCTTCCACTCCATAAAGTCACCTCCCGATCTCCGGAGCGATTTTCTTCCAGCTTCAAGTTACTCGTTCGCGCTTGGCCGATGCGCGATGTTGGGGCTGCTAGCGGAAACGAGAAGATCGGAAAATGGGAGAGAGACGTTACGCGGTAAAAGACTCCGCCCACCCACTGATTTTCGGATTCAGCATAGCAAATAGACCCAGCTAGCAAAATCCCAAACTTGACTTTGTGCCAGGACACTGTCATCAAAGGGTGGCTCGGCAAATCTTCGACCCAGATTCTTTTATGCTTACCTGACGTCTTTTTTGCTTACCTGGTGTAATCCTATGTGGTGATTCCAAAAATCCACTTAAGGTGGGAAAATGGCAAAACATTTCCCAAGGCCCTTCGATTTGAACCTGGGTGGAAGTTCACTTGGAGACACAGACCAGTTGCGGGTTTGGGCAATCTTCTTGGCAAAGGTAGCATGCTGTGCGCTAGGACTTGCTCTGTTCTCATATTTGGGTTGTCAACCTACCTAATCGAAAATTCTAGATATTTTGCCGACCCGAGCACTGCCTTTGAAAACGTCCACCCAGATCCCCTACGTCATTGTTTCTATCGTTCCGGGGCCTTCCCATGTCCCTGATTCGAATATCAACTCGGCAATCCGCGAAAAACCCGAAAATCGCCGTATCGCAGGATCCGCAGGGCGAGTTTCCAGGAACGGTGATTGGTTGAATGCGTACGGATGGGCGGGATGAACGTCAAGCCCACTCAGGGAGGGCCAACGTGACGGGCCCGTCATCTGAAGCGATTTTCGCAGCAATTTTCTCGCTTACAGAGCAACTTTTGGCTGCGCAAGTTGGCCAGTATATAGCTGGGGCCCGCTATTGTTAGGCACATCGAGATTTCACTGACTTCAATTTGGGTGGACGGTGCCTTTGAGGATAAAAAGGGGCAGAATGTAAAGAATGACTCGCTGAGAAGTCTCACGAAAAGACCAAAGCGGCCATCGACCAACACCGCTCAATTGGGCAAAGAATTTCTCGACATTATCGAGGTTTCCTTGTACACACAGCATTTAGATAGTCAATGGCCAAAAAGTCTAGTCACATAACAACGGGCACAGTTCACCAGATGTATTATAAAACTTCATGATTTCAAAGCAAAAAGACCAATTATGAAGTCCGCAAAGAACAGAAGAATAGAACAAACCTAACATCACCATGCTCACAACATCAGCGATATTTAGAGGAAGTTCCGCTGTTGATTGGGAACTTATAGTATTCTCATCGTTAGGATCAATATGATAGCAAACGTAGATACCTAATATGCAGTTCAGCTTTATTGCTCGCCCAAGATTGCGCGCAGAGCCACTTGATTAATTTCCAGTTACAAAAAAAAATCTGCGGACTACCGTAAAAATATGTAATGCATCATACTGGAGGCTGAACAATGGAACAAAACAAGAATACAAATAGCAACAACAACATTAGTTTAAGCCACGGCTTGCCCGTGCGAAGTCTGTAGGAACGTACTATTGCAGCCACCACGCGCAAATCAAAAGTGCCGCAGTTTGTAACGGTCTAGCAACTTAAAAAAAGCGAAACGCTTCAGGACTAAGTCTTTCCTAAAGGCAGTGTCCAGGTGAAAATAATTTTGGAACTCCGACGACACCGCTCAAGCGCCAGTTCAGATGGTGCTCACGGCTGAGATATTTGCCTCCAAACTGGATCCCAGTAAATATCGTATTAACAGACGACTTAATACTTGCCTCTTGTTCGCATGGTTTCATACCACGAGCCATCATTTTCAAGCACGATGCAACATCCGTTAACACAGTCCTAGGGTTCAATTTGAAGGCAAATATCTCAGCCAGGGTCCGGCACAAAATGTCTGGAAGCAGGCTGGACTTCGTTTTTGGAGCATGCCCCGTAAAGAAATTGTGTACATGCATTACTAGCAAAGATTCTGGAGGAGCACATATCGTGTGCAAGACAATTCAACACTTCCTACAGTGCTAAAAGCGACCACTGATTCAAGCACAAGCTTTGAATCCAGGTTATTACATGATGGACGTGCTCCATCGTGTCTTGCGAAAAGCGCTCGCGATTTGAAAGCAAAGCCAAAATTGCCAAATTGCTTGTTTACAGCGTAAAGACAAGCATGTGACATCAAATTTGGAATGCAGGCATAGAATACTATTTACGGAAGAATTATGTAAAAAGTTTTGAAAACTTATATGAAGAAATACCTTTTCCAAAATTAGTCCGTTTCTAGACGGCCACCAGACGATCTGAGATCGATTGGGGCATATATTTCTGTAAGTTCACATGTGTGGATTTTTCGGCGCTATTCGGCTATCCGGGCCCCAAAATTTTGGTCATGGATTTTGCTCAAACTTGGCCCAGGGGGGTTATCTGACATGCTCGTTCACAGGAAATCGCCTCCCTGTGGGGTTACGGTAAGTATACGGTAGGGGGTCAAAATCACGGATTTGCCCGAAACTTCGTCTAGAGGAGTTATTTGGCATGCTGAACACGAATATGATGTTAATTTCGTGCGACAGCGCCATCCGGTAGAGTTACGGTAGGACTACGGTAAAGGGTCAAAATCACGGATTTGCCCGAAACTTGGTCCAGAGGGGTTATTCGACCCGCTGATGCCAAAATCACATTAGTTTTGAACCGTAGGTCATTTTCTCGAGTTACGGTAGCTACACTGTAGCGGGTGTTCTGCCTGAAACGGGTGTACGACGATTCGGACGATCGTGAAGCTTTGCACACACGACTACCGCTGCGCGCTAAACACCCTGCTGCGGCTTTTGCCTAAGCAAAGCACAGGGAAAAGATACATTTGCCGATTTGTGATTTTGACCCCTACCGTAAACCTACTGCAGGGAGACGTTTTCGTGCGGAGAAAGTGTGACATTTCCAATCAGCATGTCGAATAACCCCTCTGTGCGAAGTTACAACGGATTGTGAGATTTTGACCCCCTACCGTATACCCACCGTAACCCGAGAAAATGACGCTACGGTACAAAACCAATGTGATATCAGCATCAGCGGGCCGAATAACCTCTCTGGGCCAAGTTTCGGACAAATCTGTGATTTTGGCCCCCTATTGCATACCTACCGTAACGCCATAGAGAGGCGATTTCCTGCGGAGAAAATATGATATTCGTGACGAGCATGTTAGATAACCCCCCTGGGCCAAGTTTGAGCGAAATCTTTGACTAAAAAATTGTGGGGCCCAGATACCCGAATAGCGCCGATTTTTCTATCATGGAGGATTCCCCGGTCAAAAATATATCCCTGAGCATGAGAACATTTTCATATCATTGCCTTTCCTTTGTTTTTTGCCTTAATTTCTTCATTCGCATTCTTAAATGCGCGCTAATGCCAAACTCTTGTGCATGCTATACAGCTTCACCTTTGATTTTCACTTTTTCTTTCAGACTAGTAACTTATTCTTGTTTTCATCTTTTCGTAAGTCAGTAGGTCAAATTCTTGTTTTCATCTTCTCGTAAGTCAGTATTTCAAAGGGGACTTCGTAAAACTTCCGAAAATCAGGGGACACATCGCTTTCAGAAACCCTAGAAACCGACTCGTGCCGTGCCCTGACTCGAAACGATCATGTAAAGTAAATCATGGTGTTTTTGACATTGAGGTCAAACGACCCTGTGAAATAAATTATGATCGTTTTTTCGAGTTAAATTTACATGATTATCGGCAATTAGCCGTTTGCCACTTAACCCACTTCATTCCGCCTATCAACTACCCAGCTACGGTTACCCACAACAACGCCGTGCTATTTTATCTTAATATCGCCCATTACTTTCTGAAGATCACTATTATCACTGTGAAACAGGTACTCTCCGAAGAAGACGATTGTCAAACCGTTGAGTCCAAAGGAATTTGCCATGCTACCCTAATTTCAAAGGTACAAGATGCACTTTTTTCGATTTTTCAAGCGAGCTGCTCAGTCGGGTCGTTGTGTTTCGGAAAACGAGACTCATGAGGGCACGATACCCTGTCAAGTTGTAGAGTTAGCTATTCTCTTAACTTGACCCCTCTACCCTTAGTTTCTTTCCTTTGCACTAACATAACAGTTCTGACTAGATTCTTTTATCATTATAACATATAAATGTGGGGGAACATAATTGGGGAGGGGACCACCGAGCACCCGGGGAGTGCCAGCTCATCTGAAGTTGGTGGCACCGCCCAGTCGGCGAGGGGACTGTCGGACTCTGGTTAGTCTGCGTCTCGACATGTCCGTTCCATGGCAAAGCTCGTCCTCGAGCTTTTGAGGTTGGCCATGGTTATTGAGTTGTCATCAGTGGCTTCACTGTGGAGTTGCCCATATGCATGGTTGCGATGTCATCATTGAGTTGGACGTTGCCCATATGTACAGTTGACGTTGCCCATACGTGTAGTTGATGTTGCCCATTTACCATTTGCTGTTTGGTTCAGGGCAGACTTGCTTCAGGCGTTAGTCGCTGGATTTTTCTTTATAAGGACAGGGGGAAAAGGGATGAGAAGGCACGCTTTCGCACGCCCTGTCAGAAAAATGAGCTCGTCTCGAGCTGAAGAATGGAAGCAACATGGACGAATGATGAGATGATTCAAATGATGAGCAAATCGGGGTACGGATGAGGCTTCCGTAATCCTTTGGGGAGGCGGATAGGGATTTCCGCATGGTGGTAAAATATGACATAGGGTATAGGAAGGCGGATAAAGACCGCGCTGGTGACGAAATATGACATACGGGAGTATGATGACATCCGTAAAATAATGAGCAGCAGTGTTGTAGAAAAATGGGATTACGAGCATGGAATAACGCATGGAATAATACATAAATTGACAGCAAACAGCAAAATGAATTATGTTCGAAGACGACGAAGGAACGGAATGTATATTCCGAACATTTGCCGTTACAGAGCATGGTAAGCTATGATATGGACATGTAATTTCACAGGATATTGACATTTTTTTTACCTGCAAGCAACTCAGGAGGGAACACTTCCCTAACGTTGATTACAAGGGCGTGGGTGAAAAGTGATTGACTGAAAGCCTTCTCCGAGCCGCCAATCAGAGAAGTCTTTCTTTTTACGGTGCGATGGCTTGCGGGCAAACTTACAAGTGTCAGTAGCTGCTGCGTGAATGAGATTTGTGAGGTTGCTACTGGCACTTCTCACTCATTATGAGGGAGACCAATTCGTTCCTTGTCTCAGACGCTCTGAACGTCTAAGATTAGGCTGGAACCTTTTCTGGAAATTTTTTCAACCTTGAACACGAATGATTTTTTTTCGTTTTTGGTTAGAGTGGATAACAGAACTGCACAAAATTGTATGAACACACAATGATAATAAAACACTGAAAGCTAATAAATGAATACCTCTGTGACAAAGTTGGATAAAGATGATCAGTAACTATCTAACTCGCTTCAGTAGTCGAGGATTATCTGGTCCAGAGCTGTAGAATCTTCTCACAAATTAGTAATTAGGCGAAGCTGACTTAAGCGCAAACTAAGCAGTATTGTATTACTGCTTGGAACGGATTCCGCTGAGCTTAGGACAGCTCCTGGCGCCTATATGCCACTCAAGACACATAATGACGCTCTCAATCGGCATGACTGGGAAAGGGCCTCCGGTAACCCCATGGGCTATCACATAGCCTATGGAATCACCATAGGCAACATAGCCTACGGACTATCCACAGGCGTCTAGATCGCCTGTGGAACTGGCGGCAATTAGAAACGGCTATGGCAATTAAACACAATTATAAAAATTTTATACATATGTACAGTGCCGGCGTTGGCGATAGAGTCCCTGAGTTTGTGTAAAAAATAACGATGGAAAGTGAGGAAGAAGAAAATAAATGACTGAAAATAATGTGTAAAGTTGTAGGCGAAATATGGTGAAAAATGGTTGTGAAAATGAATTTTACATGTTTTGGAAAGATAATAGATTGTGAAAGAGAAAATGTGGAAGTTACAAAGTAAAATATGTTTTGAAAAAATGAAATGTTTTAGATTTGTTTCTAAATAAATAGGGTGGGGAAAGGGGGCTAGAGGAAGAAAGAGTAAATATTTACGGTTCTTCACGTGGTATCACGGTAAAAACTGTAAGGGATCAAAGCAGAGAAAAAATATCACATACCATATTCAATATAGTAATATATTTATTATCTGCTATGAAACAAAAAAAAGACTGTCAAACACATAGTAGGTAAAGAATACATGATTATATTCATTACCCACTATGACACGAAAAATATGACAAAATAAGAAAAAAACACACTCAGACCCATCGCCTGGACTCAAGGGAAAAGAGAAAGGAAAGGGTAAATATGAAAAAGGGCTACGTAATTCACGTAGGAGATGAGGGCTGGTGCCGGTGGTGGGATTAGCAAAGATCTGCGCAAAATCTATGCTTACACTTTTTTTTTGAAGAAAAGTTATGCGACAAATTCGTTCAGAAAAACCCGGGACCTCCATGTCAAGTTTGAAGAGTTAGCTATTCTCTTAACTTGATCCCTCTACCCTTAGTTTCTTTCCTTTGCACTAACATAACAGTTCTGACTAGATTCTTTTATCATTATAACATATAAATGTGGGGGAACATAATTGGGGAGGGGACCACCGAGCACCCGGGGAGTGCCAGCTCATCTGAAGTTGGTGGCACCGCCCAGTCGGCGAGGGGACTGTCGGACTCTGGTTAGTCTGCGTCTCGACAACCCTCAGGCAATACCCAGCGCGGTATGAGGTCCTTTGGCCGCGAAATTTAAAAGCGTGTTTAAGCTAGTCGAGTTTAGATTTAAAAAAAGAACAGTTGCGTCTTGTACTCGTAAAATTAGGGCAATGTAAGATTTGTCTAACACATCAAGTACTGCCTGTTAGTGCTTGTTGTTGCCGGACGCTTGACTTGGTACACTGCGGAATTTCTCTTGCATGAGCATGTTCTTCGAGGGAGACCCCATTCCGGTAGCGGCGGGTAAAGCTCGTAATTAATGTATCGTTCTCTAACTACAGGGTGGTCCACATGAAGTGACACAAGAAGAAAAAATTATAACTTCGCAAGGACTGGATAAAATCAGAAGCTTTTGTCTTTACCTGATAGAGAAGAGAATTCTGTATAGGGACTTTCAACTAACTTTTGAGATATTTGTCCCAGGTTTTTTAAAAATCCTTTTTTCTTCTTCATCTTCCAAAAACTCTTCGATTTGCGCGCGATCCAAACTCTCACCAGGTTTCTTTTTGGAAAATCTTTTTCCTTTTAGGCAGACGGAAAAGAATGTTTGTGGGTTCAAGGATAGGCGAGCTAGAGGGCCAATTGTCATTTTTTTTCCAGTGTCCAAAGACGGTTTTTATACAACTGCAAACTCTTCTTCCCGCTGTGGATTGGTGTCTAGTCACGCTAAAAATTCAAAAGGGTTTATAGTATTTCTTTTGATCCAAGAAAGTTCCACAGTTTTCCAAATTTTGCTTTCTATGTTTTTTCCAGAATCTCGAAAACTGCAATTCTCGTTGCCATGGCGACTGCCTTTGATAAACCTTCAGGCTTGACCATGTTTTACTAAGAACCGAAGTCGGGAACAAGCACAACGGGACAGAAGAATATGGAGAAGACGACTATCATCAAAACATGTAAAAAAAGAATAAAATGACCTTTTTGCAGCGCGTCAAACATCATGTGAGTCACATAAGAAAAAACGCTGTTTGGGCTTTCCACTCAAACATTTCTGAACTCACGAATTCTCTTCCTGGCCTATCTGTAAGTAAAACGCTCTCTCTTTCAGATCCATTTCATTGGATTTGCTAAAACTAGATCCTGGGACAAAATTCCGCCAAAACCATTGCGCGCATTTTAAAATTTTTTCTAAGCAGAATAAATTTTTCAGCAAAGCCGAAGGTTGATAATTCGAAAGTAATCTAAAATATTTATATGGAATTTTCCTTGTCTATCAGATGAAAACAAAAGCTTTTGATTTCATTGAGTTCTACCAAAGTTACGGAAGCTTTTGTGCGTCATGTATATGGCCACCTGTACTCTTAGTCCGGCAATCCTTTAAGATTAAGGATTCTGTCGGTAATAAGTGAGAGTAAGTGTGAGTGAGTGCCGGTAATAAGAGCAAGAAAAGCACCTTCCAACGTGCACATATTGCCACATCGAACACCAGATTTTATAGAATAGCTACTCCGAACACAAGACAACAAAAAACGGACAGAACTTCTGACTTTTGCAGCAGCACTGTGATGATATCACTAGTTATTAAACGACCATAAAAAAGTCGCCAGCTTAAACCTTACCTGTGCTACAAAATTTTCCACATGGTTTGTTCAACCTGAGAGCGATCAAAACTTAAATAAATTTTGAAATCAAATCAACATCTAGAACTTTTCATCGGAAGTCGGTGTCGCTATACCCCCCCCCCCGTCGTTCAAAATTTCAAAGTTGCCGCAAAAAATTTGAAGTACATACCAAACAATTCCTGAGGCGCAATTAGCGCCACGTTCTTCATTCGTAAAAGATTTCTGCGCTCCTACCTAGAAAAACTCTCCCACCGCTTCAAAGATACAGCCTCTTGTTTAGGAGAGGTCCAACTTTGCATGCCGATCATCTTGCATTTCTGTGTCTACCCTATCAGCCATGGAGGACTGGCTTCTGCGCTGACGAGGTGACCCCGGGAGCTCGCCCCTGACACATGTCGGGACACCGCCTCGGTGAGTTTCCGATTTGCAGGCCTTTAGGTTTTGACATCTTGTCGGTTGTGGTCTGCCCTTGTGTTTGGGTATAGGGAATTTGTACGGATAAAGGTGGCCATTCAATACGTGTGTTTATGGATTGATGCGGTGGTCCACAACCCGGCTGTGGCTCCGGGGATAATAACATCACGCGTATTTATCTTATAATCATGCCCAGTGTGACAGATCGTGTGAGGGTTGGCACAATTCTGGATAGTGCCTGAATCATAAGTATACGCCCCAAGGAGTATATGTCGAGATGAACGATAGCTGGTACCAGTGCCGTGCGAGGTCATGAACTGGCAGTAACGTGTTCGCTCGAAGCTTCGCCCTACTGCGGCGGACGAGTTCTTCGGACGGTACCGTAACTCGGACTTTGCATTGGTCAACGATGGGGGGTAGCCAACATGAACGATAGGTTGTGCCAGCCATATGCGCTGCGTAGGTCAAATCTTTTTTAACTTCCATATTTACGCTATAATGATATCTCAAAACTTGGAAAAAACGTTGGGAACTCTGTATGCCCTGATCCTAACTGTTCGACACCATTTTCATTCTGGTTTGGAACATACAGCTCCAAGAAATAAGACTTTATGTGCTACATATTGACAACTGCAGGAGTACAGTATGCTTATTGCCAGCTATCTTCATCTTGGCATACACCCGTCAACTATAAATGATTACTGGACCAACTTCTTCCAGGCTCCTATTTATTCTGAATTATGCTGTTATTCTAGTATTCATTACAATATTGCTGTCATTCTCGTATTCTACACACTGTTCATCAAGTATTCTACTGATTTATCTCTACATTATTCTTCTGTTCTATTCCCTACAAGACTCTACTCTACTACTAATCATTTTTCAATTTATTCTTACTTAATAAATTATATAATATTGTTACTTGCTTCACCAATTCACAGATCTAGCAGATTCACGGTAGTAGTCATGTCAAATGAGAACATGAACCCATCCGTGATACGACAAGTGCGCGGAGTTTTTGCGATATATGAAGGCAACTTGGTATCAAGGACATTTCAAAGGTTTGTGGAATGAGTGGGAATCCCAGATACAAGGGTCGCTGAAGCATTTCATAGGTGAGTGTCCAGTGTCAAAAGGATAGCAGTAGCGAACCTCAATTCTAGAAAATTGAGGTGCATGTTAGAGGGCAATACCCGTCTACCCGTCCTGGCAGCGCTTTTGGATCTGCTGAAAAGCTGTAACAACAATGCAAGGGGAAAATTTTTGAACATGGAAAGGGTAAGCAACTAGAACTAGCAACTTGCAAACTAGCAACTAACTTTATGCTTTTACAGAGATCCCGTGATGGAAGAATGCTAAAGGCTAGAGATATAAGGAGAAGAGAACGGATCATAAGGATAATAGAGAGTCACAGAAGCGAGTTTGAACAAACTATACCCAGTACTCGCATAGTAGTCAAGTACTGTGCAAAGATGGCCAGATTCGTGACCAAAACTAACTGAAGAAGGAAAAGAAAGGCATCTTTGGACAGTAGTTGAATAATATGTTTGATGTTGTTGCTACTTTGTAATGTTTTCCCTATAAGTATTTTCTGTTTGTACATGAACAGCATCACTATGAATGCTTTCATTAACAACATCAATATACAACAACATCAATACACAGATAATACAATACAAAAAAGTGAAAGCCGTTTCGTTCCTACCCTTAGACGGGAAAAATAATACAACAGCCCTCCGCGGAACTCATCAGGGAGGGAGGGCATAGAGCATAATGAAATATAAGGAGAAAAACAATGGTCTGCTAAGGAAAAAGCACAATAGAAGATAAAAGCACATGAATAAAATACCAGCAGTGTCTCGGTCCAGGCCTAGATCCATGATAATACCTGAAAAACACAACAGCAATTCTGTCTTTCCGCAATTCATCTTGACCGCCATCCCGCTCCAAATGTTGACGGTTGGGGCGATGACGCAGTTGCATCAACTGCTAAATAGGCTGGTGGCAAGGTCCCCTATGTGTGCATTGCGTAGTATTGTGGCAGGCTTAAAGGCAGTGCGTCTGCAGAATGAGACCCGTTGCAAAACAAGGTCACAGGGTAGAGCCCCCATAATGGAACCTATGGGCCAAAGTTCGATCTTCCTCTGCCACTTCTAACCCCCGAAATTTCATACGAAAGCAGCGCTCATCTCCTGTCCTCTCCGAACCCGGCCACCCCATGGACGAGTGAACGCGGAGCCCGTCATGGCGAAGACGCAGAGTCGTTTCGGGACCTCATGCTAATAGCATTGCGGCTGGCGCTCTGACCGCGGAAGTCACTCGTCCATGGGGTGGGCGGGTTCGGAGAGGACAGGAGATGAGCGCTGCTTTTGCTTTGAAATTTCATGGGTTAGAAGTGGCAGAATTCTGCCGACGCACTGCCTTTAACTAGCATTCTCACACGTAACGCCACCACTCCTTCCACACCAATTACGTTGCACCTTCTTTTGTATGGGATCCTTGGTTCCTGCGCCGATACAGAAGAGCCACAACACCAATGACGTTGTGAGCTGGGGGTCCAATCCGCGACAGAGGCTTTTAGCGCTGGTCTAGATCTTAACAAAACTTGCAGCATTATAAATCGTTCTGATCACCATAAGACGACTGGCCGCGGCAACAGTCGAGACTGGAATACTCCCTAATGAGATTAAAGCCGCTTTCCATGTGCAACCCTTAGTTTTGGTGCAGTCCATGGATTTCACTGAATTGCATCGCTCTTTCAGGGATTTTCAAACCTCATTTAGTGCATAACCGATTATGTGAGATGAGTTGTTGCCATATTCAGAGAGATTCTTATGAAAATGTTTTTTTATTGTGGATATGAAAACTTTGTTGATGCTTCTGGAATTATTCGCCAAGTTATTACTCGCTTCTTTTCTTCATTCATAATCATTTTTATATGGTTCTGACCCTGGTGTCCGGGAAATCGTCCCCTATGTTTTGTTTCTACAGGTAAAAACTGTGGTTTCTTCTATGATATATGACTCTGCGTATTCAAGATAGGCTTTACCTAGTTATGCCATAATTGGGTAAAGCAATTGTTAATTTATTAGGTTGGAAACTAAGTTTTGCAACTGGTCTCATAACTTCCCTCTCACTCAACATGGCGCACTCAAATTTTGCCACTGTGTTGGTTATTACGTAAGCTACAAGGGCAGCTGCTGTTCTACCAAATTCTGACGTCGCAGTGAGGATTACGGTAGGTGTATGGTATGAAGGGGAAAAGTTCAAAGTTTGACGGATTTGGCTGAACTTGGCATAGGGGTGTTATCCGACATGCTGATCGCGAAAACGATAGTGAAAGTATGTGGCAAGGGCTTTTTTGTAGGATTACTGTAGGTGTACGATATGTACACCTTAAACAAGGAAAAGACATTGATTCAACAAATGAATGTGATATTGTCGTTCGGTCAAATAACCTTACTGTGTAAAGTCTCGGCGGAATTTGAGCTTCCGACTCTTTAGTCACTGACGGTCATCCCAGCAATCTCTTGCGTACATCGACTCATTCGACTTTGTGAGGACGCCAAATTTCGACATGCCCCTAAATTTTGTTTCTTTTTTACTGGGCCAAAGAAGTCAACCTCCAGCAATAATTTCTAGACGAATCCGGATTACTGGGCGTGGTCTAGGCTGCTAAAGGCTTCATTTTAGCTTGAAGCCCCAAAAATTCTCAAATTTCACTAGTTTTCGATAAATGCCTGAAAATTTTCTATTTCGCGTTCAAAATTTAGACAGTTTGAGCTCACTTGTAGCTCACATTGCCTTCTGCATAATGCCAAAGTTTGAGTGCGCCATGTTCAGTGAGAGGGAAGTTATGAGACCAGTTGCAAAACTTAGTTTCCGGCCTAATATATTGAATATCTTTCATGAAGCTCAAATACTCTGGTATCTGCTTTTCATCCCGTAGAAGTACTCTAACAGGATTTCTCTTTTCTTGGAATGTATTGAAATCGTCATTGAGAGCGGAGTCTCATTTCTCTATGCTAATTGACCACAAAAATGTGTGTTTCCGTCCTTGCTTATTGTTAGATCTCCTTCTTCACAAAGAGAACTAGACATTTTATTAGATTTATTACTTGCTCCATTTATATACAATGTTTGTTTATACACTTTGTACAAATCCCATAGTGTTTCCAAGAAGGCCAACCACTATCTTTCCATCCGTTCTCTGTAGCACTTTATTTCCATACTTCGCTGCATTCATGGTATAAGCATCTCTGAAATATCTATATTATTTCTTTAGGCTGTAGAAATATCCATAGATTTTGTACCTGTTGACTACTATACCGCACACATTCTCCTTTTGTGCAAACTGTTTCACCGTTGGTCTGTAAAAGCTGGCAAATGGGCGGAAATCATCGAAATTCGCTGGAGTTTCACCTCTTGGTCCTGCACCGTAAACACTCCAGTACCTGAGATCTCGGGATTACCCATGTGATCTTTAGTTGAAAGGGTTATCCTTACCATAGCATGGCATTCCCTATATTGGCTCCTTTTGTGATCTGATCCCAATCATAGGCGTTCGTATAAATACCGACGGCAATACCATAGGACTGAAAATTGGTTTGTCGAGGAGTTTTTCGAAAAAAATATAACATTATAAATTTTACATTAGCTGCCATAATTATGTCGTTGAGGAAGTTAATGTTTTCTTGGGTGTTTGGTCCCCAGTTAACAGGTGAGGTAACCTAAATGAGTGATGTACATGTAACGCAACAAAGGTGTCATGAAAACTTCTGTTCCAAGACCAGCTAAAAAATTATTTGATGAGAAAAGTAATAATTTCAAGTGGAATTTGTTCTTGCCTTGATAAGCACTGCGAATGTTGTTGACAGCATTAGCATCGAACATGCCCACACCGGAAGGATCGTAGACCCTAAATTTGAATATTAATCTTGTGAAATTCTTTAGAACTTGCTGTGAGTGTACCTTATAAATACGACGCTATATCCATTTGATTTAATGCAAGTAAATATATTGTAAGGTACTGCTCCTGATAAATCTACTGCATACGCGTAGTTATAGAAAGTCTGAAATTTTTTTGAGCACTAGCTGTTTTTTGCTTGTAGTTAGAAATCATTGAAGCTTACTTGATTTGCTGCAGGTGCTGCATTTACTAGGCCCACTGATACCAGAGATAAGAGAATGAGGTATTTTTCCATTTTTTGCAAGTTGGAAAAAACTTAACTTTGACTACCTTGAAGCTTTAGCTTAATTGTTAACGGACTTGAAGCGCTTGACTTGAGCATTTCTGATGCCCTTATAAACGCAATATCACAACAAGCGGGGGTGGACAAGCAGTGGCTCAGACAATTTTTTGCTGGTCATATGATGACGTTATCAGATGTGTGTGAGTTTATTGACACAACGACAGGAAAAAATTATCAGAAACTCTTACTATTCTGGTATGGAAGTTTTCCCAGTGAAGGGCTTTGCTTATACATCATAAACAAAAAAAAATAAAACTCCCAATTCGCCTTTTTGTGAATGACTGGAATCGTCAAGAAGTTGAGTTTTTCGAAACCAAAATGTAATATTTACTAAACTTTCAGGATTTTTTTTATAACGAAACACAGGTTAAGATCTCTCTAAAAACTTACTTTGATATGGAATGTAATTTTCGAGATTGAATAATGCATTTCTGTGGAAGTAGCGGAACAAGGTTCAGAATGTTAGTAAACTCTTTCTATGAAATTTTGCCCATATCTTTACTGGCAACCTATGATGTGCTGCATAAACAATGAACTGATCGGATACTGTTTTTCTATAAGATTAAACTCCTCGATAGACGTGATAAACCGAAGACCGGAAATCTTTGCCAGTTATGTTTGGTGCTTGACTCCTCCAGATCTAATTTTTTCCTGTATTTTGGCTGCCGGAAATGTTTATCGGTGCTTTTTCTTGGAAAGTGATTGAGACAGACAATAACGTCATCTCAAAAGTGATAACAATTTTCAGCCATGTTTCCCATGACTTTCAAACACTTGTCCTCCTACGACACTGATAAGGACAATGTATAAAATAAGCAGAATTGTACAAGTGAGTCAGAGCTTTTTGGCTCTTACATAAATACATAAACAAAAGGTTTGTGTTTGAAGCTACTTTCCTCACTAATCCATAAGGAGAGAGAACATTTTTTTTTAGCTATGTCTGTCCTTTTCATTCTTCCACTAATTTTTGTCAGCTGTTATGCTAAAGCCATCCTTCCGGAACCAATTCTGGTGGGTCAAGTCAAATATCTTTTACTACTCTCCGTTTCTTGAGAACCTATAAATCATGAGTTGGACACTACATGTACAAATTCAGGCTGCTTCCATCACTTATGCCTATGCCGTGGACCTCGACCGACCTGTAACTGTGGCTGCTTTTGAGTGTATGAAAAAATCGGGTTACAAAGCTGCCATTATTAGGTGGGGCTAATCATTGTAAATACACATTTTCGTCCTATAATGCTCATTTTTAGAGCGTACGATCCCTCAAACAATGGCAAATTTGATGTCAATGCTGTGAACAACATTCGCAATGCTAATCAAGGTAAGTAATTATCTAGATTTTGGAGAACAGTGATTTAGTCCTGATGTTTTAGCTGGTCTCGGAACAGAAGTGTTTATGACACCATTGCCCCGTTCAAGCAAAAAAGGTGGAAAACAGTTTAAAGAACTTTATGAGGGGCTGAAAAATGGAAAAATTGATGTGAGAACTGTCTGGTTGCAGGTGAGCTAGCCTTGTTTCTTAATTGAAATAAATTTCCATACTTGCAAGTAAAGTAATCAAGAATGGGTTCTCAGGTAACTTCGCCTATCAACTGGGGATCAAACAGCAACGAAAATATTTACTTTCTCAACGACATCATAGCCATGGCCAAGGTACAAAAAACTGGAAGATTTTTTTGTTGAGGATTTTTCAAGACAAAGTTTCATGTTCTAGTACTATGGCGTCAGAATTGGTTTCTACACAAATGTTTATGACTGGAATCAGATCACCAAGGGAGCTACGGTCGAGGGAGCTATGCTATGGTGAGTTTCTTGAATTAGGAAAAAACAAAGAAATTCGCTGATATGCAAAAATTTAGGTACTGGAACGTCAATGGTGGAGGACCGAGCGGTGAAACACCTGCCAACTTTGACGATTTTCGTCCATTTGGTAAATTCACGAAGCCGACAATGAAACAGTTTGGACAAATGGAGCAAATTTGCGGTGTCACGGTTAATAGGTAATGTTCACCCTATGAAAGTAAAAAGCAAGCTGAATAATAATATTTCCAGGGACATCTACTTCCTAGAAAAATCAAATCCCTTTCCTACCGAAATGAAAGGGAAGCAAAGCGATGAGCTGATTGTTGGCAAACTGGGCCATGCACTTACGGGATTTTTATCAGCTGCATAAGGAAAACACTCAAGAAAAGAACTAATAAAAAGAAGTGCTTTATAGACACGGCATAATACATTGAATAAAACGATTTACTTTTACATGTGGTGAATGATTTGGGTTACTTTCCAAGTATTTTCCATAAAGAAGGTACCTGAGAATTGTTCCAATATTGGTTTGCAAAAATAATAGATATTGGAACATTTGAATTTGACTTATATGACCAACATTAAGACAAAAAAAACTTCCACCTGTAGCGTAGTCATCTGTGGATGATCAAAAACACGTGCAATGTTCTATTCTGCATCTCATTTCAGATTGCGGCAAACTATGTATTTTCTCTGCACATTACAAAAATAGTGATAATCGAAATACTTTTATGTAATAAAGAACGATATGCACTTTGTAAGGATAAACTAAAGCAAAATGCTAGGGTATAAAATGAATGCAGATAAGCTGATATGTAGAATATATAGCACAGACAAACAATTTCTGGAGCACCTCATCAGTAAAACGAAACTGATTACTCCTCCAAATATTCCATGATAGAGGAGCGTACTTCTTCACGCTGAACTTTGGCGGAAGCAGCAAACACGTGGAGCACCTTAGCAGTTTCACAACGAGAGCGACGATCCGCGCCAGCAAGATCCTGTAAAGGGCACTCTACTATACGCAGGTGTGCATTTTTTAAAATTGTCTACATTAGTTACGAAAAGTGCAAGTGACTTGTTTATACTTGTAAATCAAACTAATTTTCAATTTTTTTAATGAAAATTCGGGTTAGCCTTGTAAAAATTTTTCTGCCACCACGCCCCCTCTTTCAATTTCAGGTTATGCCGCAAGAATTATAGAAAACATCCTGCAATTTGATCCCCCCTCGCCCAAACGAAAATCCTGAAACCACCACCCTACCTTTCGTAAAAGAATTATTATAGTACCTTCTATAAATCAGAGGTCATTATCTCAATTAGCCTGTGCTGCCCTCAACCACCCGCGGTAACTTAAGAAATCGGCGAAGATTTGAGTCAGCTTTCACAAAATTGTCTCTTACGTTTTCGATTATAATTATTCTAATCATTCACAGTAAATATTTATTCACTTGCGTGATTCTGTGAGTTATGTAGACTACTTCCGAAATTTTTGCCGAGCAGAGTTTGCTTCCAACCAAAAAACCTTCAGCACAGAAGCTACAGCTGCAGATTGTGGAACAGATTTTCTTAGCGGGCTATAATTTATTCTATAGAGGAATTTTTGATATCCAAATTTTTTCCAGATACTTGCAAATGAGCTGGTTTTTCGGTAAACAGCCCTGCAAGTTTTGATCTTTCAAGATCATTACCAGCCAAAAAAACAATGCCTCCGTTGACGCAATTCATTACCTGTGCTTAGGAACTTGAGAAGATCGCTTAACTAATGGGTTGATCACCGTCAGAGAAGTCACTAATGTGACGATCGTCACTTTCAAATGGAAGCATGATTTAACCATCCTCTGCATCATTCAACCCCATGGAGTTTCCTAATCCGGAAATAGGTACACACTTTGATACGTTTCACTATCTCTGCAAGATTCCACGGTACAGAAATGGCCAATGTGCCGATCGCATTCAAAAGAAGGGGAGTCTTGACCTCCTGGCGAAGAAGAAATTCTACGTTCTCCTGAATGTTGTTTTAATATTGTGTAATTCGCTCAAAAACATCCAGAGTTCATCAAGCAATCCGTCTTGAAAATTGTGCAAATGCACACATCGGCAAGAACCTTACCCGACTGTAGCTACCTTCCCTCATATTGTTCCTGGGACGACTCTCCGTTGGCGAGTTACGTCCTTCTCCATTGAAGATACCACAATGTATCTTCTGAAATTAGAATCTCTGACTCTGCAATAAGAAACTGCATTAGCACGCGATACATCAAAATAAAAACTACTGTATTACACAACCTACAAAAGAAAGTACAGCTTCGTTAGTCTGAAGCTCTGTGATTGAGTTGAAGAGTTTGTCTGATAGGATCTTATCGTTCTCCAGAAGCCCCACAACAAAGTCCATCCATTTCTGAACTGAATTGTTGCAGCTGGGGTAAGAATGTACTGGCTACAACCGTGATGTTCCCCTCTTTAGCTCCGGAGTTCTTGGATTTTCCAACAGGTGAACCACCAGTAGGTGATTCGGATTCCTGTCCCCATTTCTCAAACTGAAAATGTAAAAAATGACATTGGACACTCAGAATCAGACTTTGACTTACGTGCCAAGCTAACTTGGAAAGCTCCGCTTCAACCCTTATTCTTCCGTTATACCATTCGTCTAGCTGTTTCCTGACCACCTCACATTTTTCCGTGCGTGAGCGAAGATCCTCCATCGGTGGTAATCACTACCTTGAAAGCGAAGCTCTAGGATTTCATGTAAATTCGGCCCCTTTCATTCAGCTCTACGATTCGCACAAGAAGCAGGCCAAGAGAAAATGGACTCAAAAGTAAACCCTAAAACGAGTGCCATATGGCGGAAATGTATACCGTCAGAACAACAGCAGTTATAGACTTCAACGCGCACACAATAAATACTATGTGAATGGAAGATGCGTCTTTTTTTAAGCTCAACAAGGAACGAGACCCTTGTCTACGTGAAATATAATTAAGTTCTACTATAATGGCTTGCTTCAACTTGCAAAACTCTAAGAAAACTATACAAACTGAAAAAAGCCCACCACAAGCGCATACGATAGCTTTTGCGGAATGTGTTCAGACGTTGCACTTGACTGCGAAGCCCTTGTCTTCGCTACGATGCACTTCGTTTGCGAGAATAACATGGGATACTGTACGATGTTTTCATGAGATTTGCATCTGCAAATGTCTCTCGGCTGGTTCAGGCAAGCAGAAAGAGCAATGAGTCATCGACACTGAAATCGAAGAGGACTTGCTACTTGAGACAGATGGTTTGCTATTGACATATTTCAGATCAAACTTTCGCATTGTGAAAGCTCGCATCTCATTGTCAGTCGGTGCAAAATATTAAATTTGCTCATGTGTCAACGGTAATTCGCATTTTTGCTCCCAAAAGGCAGCGGTGCTTGCTTGCGATTTTGCAAGATCGAATGAATCTACAAAAACGTCACTGGTGGGGTTAAAGGCTTCCTTACTACGGTAGTGAATATATACATATCGACTCTCTATCACTACATTACAGTTCCTTTGCTCAGATTGCGTAAACTGCAAATTAAATCCATAGCAACAAATTTGTCAAACAACTGAAGACTTTCTGGGTGCAGTTTGCTCTGGTCTATTGCACTCTATGAAGGCTAACAAGAAGCACTTTGAATTCTCTGAACCCTGCCAATCGAAGCTGCAGACTGGAAAGAAGAGCTGGCAGATGGCAAGTCTTTGTTTCGCTCGCTTCGGACACGAGAAGAAGATGGGTAGCCCGAGCAAAACAGGCAAAATACGGCTAGGAGTCAACAGAGACTCGCGGGCCCGATTATCTGCACCACGATCTTAGGCCCGTATGCACGTATCCCCGCGGGGAGGGGAGGGGATCTGAGAGGGGAAGCGTCAGGGAAGCGTCATATCTCGCTAGTCTATATATTTTTCTCCTTCTTTCTCAATCTTGCCTATGAAGTTTCTCATACACTGATACCTGCGCATGACGGATGCCAGGTTACTGCCATACAAGATTGGATATTCACTATTTTTTCTGATCCCCTGGGGATCCCCAGGGGATCACCTCACATTTTCAAAGTCATTTATCTTCCTGAATGCCTGGAGCCTTCAAAAGCAAGACAGAAAAAGAAGAAGAAAGGTATATAGACTAGCGAGATATGACGCTTCCCGTCTCAGATCCCCTCCCCTCCCCGCGGGGATGAGGTGCATACGGGCCTTAGGGCCGCATGCACTAACATCCCCGCGGGGAGGGGAACGCAGCTTAAAAGAAAGCTTTATATTTCGAAACTCCAGATACCTGGATTTCACGTTGTGTACCTATCCGTAAGTATTCCCACTACCCTTCACTATGAACATGTTGAAGAGGAGCGAGAAGCTGCACGAACCGCATTCTCCAGCTTTTGTATGATCCCTGATGATCCCCGGCGCTTTTCTTTAAAGTCATTTTTCTTTCTCCAAAGTTAACGAATAACCTCCAAAGTTGTGCAGATTGTCTAAACGGACAGTGCTAAACATGTTGCTGATAAGAACAAATAATGTTTTGAAGTCATGAATTTTTCGATGATCCATAGGTCGAAATTTGAGGTTTACCGAAAAATTCGACTTTTCAAAAACTCATTTGTTCTCATCAGCAACATGCTTAACACTGTTGTGTTAGATGTTCAGTACAGCTTTGGAAGGTTTTCGTTAACTTCGGAGAAAGAAAAATGACTTTAAAGAAAAGCGCCGGGGATCATCAGGGATCATACAAAAGCTGGAATGCGGTTCGTACAGCTTCTCGCTCCTCTTCAACATGTTTATAGTGAAGGGTAGCAGGAATACTTACGGATAGGTACACAACGTGAAATCCAGTTATCTGGAGTTTCGAAATGTAAAGCTTTCTTTTAAGCTGCGATCCCCTCCCCGCGGGGATGTTAGTGCATGCGGCCCTTAGAGTGAAGGGCTTAGATATTCTTTCCAACTGTATTCAAGGCCTGATCAATGTATACCTGTCATGGATGGTCACAATCGCTTTTGACAGAACTGATGCAGTTTTCCTGCATCTGGCTTGAAGATGCAAACTTTTCTTGCTACATTTTGCGCAAGGAGATTGAATGGAACGATGAATGCTAACAAGAGGATGGTAAAAAGTCGCTGTGGCCTACCCACATAAGCTGGATACCATTGAGTGCAGCATAAAACGCTGATTTTAGAAAGTCACTTGCGCAAATCATAGATCATTGTGAATTTGATTACAGCACTTTCTCTGAATCGTAGCTGATTAGACGTTATTGTTTACGGTAATAGCTCTTTTTTCCAACATTTACCACATAGAGCTTTTCGAACAAGCGATTTTTGAGTTTTGTTTTCAATAAGCGCTTTGCAAGCAGATCTTCTTGATAAAGTTATCAAAACACTGCTGGAGAGAATTTTCTTTACTTATTAATCAGTTTTTTCACATCGCAGCACTTGATATTTGCATCCCACTGATGTTTACCCCAAATCATCAGTTATTTTGCTGTTAGTATACAGGAGGCGGTGACGATTAGATAAATTCGAGTGTTAAAAAAAATTACTTTCAAGCAATCAATTTAACTTCGTTCATGATACTCACCGTTAACCAGATGAAAAAGTGTTTATTTTCAAAACAAAACAAGATTAAGAAGAAGCGTTACGGGATGGAGGTAGCCAAATTCCTATCGCGAAAAGCAGATTTGACAGCAACATTTATGCAGGAAATAATCAGCAATTCCAGTAACACGACATTTCAATACAATATATTTTCGTTCAGAAGTATATGTAAAGCGGTACCAATATGGAGAATAACTAGACAAAAATATGAGAGCTACTGTATATGATGCTAACATCGCTTTGCAATATACAAGCAACTCTATCAAAAATATGCCAATATGAAGAACTTCATTGGTAGAAGTAAAATGGTCACTCCGCCAGATATTCCATTATCGAAGAGCGCACTGTTTCACGTTGAACTTTCGAAGTAGCAGCGAAAACGTGGAACAGCTTAGCAGTCTCACAACGAGTTCGACGATCTTTGCAGGCAACATCCTGTGACAATTTGTTGCAATGATTGTATAGAAACTTAAATTCCAAGAAAAATAGATTTAATGAAATCTGGCATAAAATCCGACATGACTGATCTGCGGAATTAGGCTTCGTGCTGATGGAAAAGGAGATAAGTATAAATGATAAATGTATGAAAATGTATTAAAAATATTAGGTAGGTCAAATTTTGTACGTTTTTCAGAGCTATGCACAGATCAGTCGGAAGAATGACAACAAAGGTTTTTAAAATTGTTCGATGCAATCCTCTTTCTAGCAACGATAGTTTTGTTCAAACTCCTTTGATGTTTGCTTAAATAAATGTGAGAATTTCTAACCCCTGGTTACTGCCTATCGCAAATTAGTTTAATTGATTTTAATATTCATTTGTAATAGCTTTGATAAGAATGGATAAGATAGAAAAGTACAATACATTTTTGGCATCTCTACCAGACTTTCCATGATTTGGGAATCAAATTCTTGCAGCTATCTGATTTCTTAGAGCATCCCAGTTTCATAAAATGGCGAACCGCCAGGGTGTCATGCAATGTTTTTTTCTGGTTCCGATCGATCATTTTCTGATATGCAAAATCTTCGAAGATAAAATCATTACTGAATCGTTTTCAAACGCGTCCAAGTTGTATTCACAAAATTCGGAGTTCAACATTTTGAACGGCTAGCTCAGTTGTTTGGCAAAAATTTCGAAGTTTCAATAGGTTTGACGTTTGTCTAATCCACGACTTCGGGTAAATGGGTTGGAGAATTTCGCGATTATTTGAGCAATCATTAGAAGCAAAAAAATCAGTGTTAGCATCGTACGATTCTTAGATTATTTCTCTATCATTATTCTGAGTGATTAGAGCATTGCTCTGCAAAGATGCGTGGCACAACCACGCTTCTAAAGACGCAATTCATATCAAATAATTACATAACCTTTTTCAGTATTTACTGGAATCTTAAGATGAAGAGCCACTCGCACAGTTTTTGACTCAAGAAAACAGTTAATCAGTTCTACGAAATCTCGAAAAATGCGAATCAGCGTTGTGAAAGACTTCGTTTTTTTTTCAAATCAAAGTCGTCGTGAGTTTCAATCACCCACAGATGAAAAGAATTTTCCTTCATAAATTTGTGAATCCTTACTGGTTTTTAGTTTTGGCCAGAAATTTTCGCCACTTAAGAAACTTTTGCTACACAAGCGGTACAGGCAAATGTGGAGTGAATCCCTTTAGCGCGTTCAATATTCTACCTTGGGTGAATTTATGAAAGACTGGCGACGTGGCTATCAGAGCCCCAACTTTTCAAAATTTTTGTTGTGATAATAATTCGTAAACCTCAAATAAGCTGGTTGCTAACACTTGTGGCGAGAGATCTGAAAAATGCGAAAATATTAAGTTGGCTAAAGACTAAGTTCGGACGCTTTTGCCGCTTTGTAAAAATGTTGCCAATTTTTTTGAAAGCAAAATAACTGAAAAGAGTAAATTAAAGTAAATTTGGAAGATTTTTTCAACAAATTTCCGAAACAACGTGTTCTAAAAGAACCGGAGCTGGCCGCGAACAAAATTATATTTGGCATTCACACTTTAGACTGTCACCAGTTCAAAGCGCCGCTTCGCGGCGCTTTGAACTGGCTGTGCGTGTGGAGTGAGAAGTGTTCAAAGGCTAGAAC